CCCTCATGAAGTCTGTTTCTGATTGTTTGGTCAGAGACATTCACTCCAGTGGCCTGCTGGAGGTATTTTTGTGGGGCTCTGGCAGTGCTCATCCTGTTCCTTCTTGCACAAAGGAGCAGATACCGGTCCTACTGATGGGTTAAGGACCTTCTACAACCCTGTCCAGCTCATCTAGAGTAACTGCCTGTCTCCTGGAATCTCCTCCATGCTCTTGAGACTGTGCTGGGAGACACAGCAAACCTTCTGGCAATGGCACGTATTGATGTGCTATCCTGGAGGAGTTGGACTGCCCGTGCAACCTCTGTAGGGTCCAGGTATCGCCTCATGCTACCAGTAGTGACACTGACCCTAGCCAAATGCAAAACTAGTGAAAAACAGTAAGAATAGAGGAGTAGGGAAAAAATGTCAGTGGCGTCCACCTGTAAAACCATTCCTGTTTTGGGGGTGGTTTCATTGTAGCCCATCTAGTGCACCTGTTAATCAGTTGCAGCTGCTTTGGTGTTAATGAAATTAACAACCCCTCTGCTACTTAACTGACCAGATAAATATCCCAGGAGTTTAATTGATTGATGCTACACTCTGATTACAAAGTATTCCTTTAAATTTTTGTGTACTTACCTGAGCCCAATCAAAATCCAGGAATGTGCATGAAAGCAGAGGCTCTCTCCGCTCTATTTTTCCTTATTGGCTCAGAGACAGCAGTGGGGAGCTATTCGCTCCCACTGCTGTCAATTGCAGGAGGGGGGGGGGGCAGAGTCATGTCTATGGACACAGAGCCAGCTCAGAAGCAAGCTCACATCAGTGTCCCTGTATCAAGAGGCTTGCTATGGTAGGCATTTGGTGGGGGGGGGGGGGGAGGAGCCAGGAGTGCTGGCGGGGGACCCAAGAGGTGGATCAGGACTGCTGTTTACAAAAAACTATTGCACAGAGCAGGTGAGTATAACCTGAAAAAATAAAAATGATTGGTTTACCTTCACTTTAAGGGATGTTAACCTTTATCCTAGGTTCATACTCATGAGATTTCAGTGCGTTTTCCAGTTTGCAGAAACACTACAGTCCATTTAACAGGGTTTCCAAGGGATCTAGGTCACATCTGGGCATTTTGAACCATTGCGGATGTTTGAAAGGATCGGGGACTGTTTTTCCACAACAGATTGCGTTTTGCGTATACTTGCCTTTTCGGTGCGTTTCCAGCATGTCAACCTACACCTCCCCCTAGCACCATTAAGCACATGCCAAAGCATTCAAAATCCATTAAAAACTTGTCAAAAACACGTGTGTGAGCAAAAACGCACAGGAAATGCATCATCCACAACTTGAGCAAGTGTGAACCTCGCCCGAGGAGCTTGTTACACCCATATTTATGGCCTGCTTCCATGCATCCGCCTCCCTGCCGCCAGAGCTCCCCTCCCAGTGGTGTGGCTGTGCAGGGTTACACACAGCCACTTCATTTACAGGAATCTGTGAACGATTAAAAACTACAAGTCCCATCCTGCACTGCAGCAGACTTTTACTGGCAATGAATTGGGTATGCTCTGATCAGCACTCTCGTAGTCCATTCACACTGCCTGCAGCTCAGGAACTGGCTGTCTGTACAGAGGTTCGGGCAGAGAGCTCTAGGCAGTGTGTGCAGGAGCCTGACATTGCACCCACATTCCACTAATCGCAGGTGCAATGCTCTGCGGGCTCCAAGCTTCCTGAAAAAATATATGCATTTGTTATTTTTTCTAAAGGTTGAACTGACCCTTTAAAACATTAAACCCAAAACCAATATGTAATATATTGTAGCTTAGAAATTATTAGATGTGGTGGTTGCATTACTTTTCTTTTTTTAGGCTTTTTTCCCCCCTAAGTTTTCACCTGGTGATATGGCTATTAACACACCTCCTGTATTAGAATGCCCTCACTTTGGATGAAGGCGTACAGGGGCATCTTGGGACAGCAACATTGCAAGTCTGGGGGGAGGGGAGTGTTAGATGGACTAGCAGATTTAGATACACTAACAAATTGAAGCCAAACTCCGACTAACACTGCAGTTACACAAGCAGTTGGGATTAAAGGTTTTACATGAATAAATCGCATCGCCAATGGTAAATGGTTTGCTTTAACTCTCTAACTGCTACATCTGCAGGACGGATTGTTCTGTTGAAAAACAACAGCCTAACTGGCTGAATCACCAGATGAAATTAGAAGAAAAAGCCTAAAATAGAAAACGAATGCAGCCACCACATCTAAGAATTGGTAAGCTGCAATATAATAGAGGTTTGCTTTTGGGTTTAATACTGCTTTAACTCAGAAAAGTACTTTTTAATGTTTACCTTGTTGCTGTGATCTGGCTTCCTGATAGAATCTGTTCACACTTCTGAGTGTAGCAGAAACATGTGCAGAAATGGTAAAAGTGGTATTCATTCTTAATATGGTTCTAAAGGATTGATTTTTTTTTTCTATTTATAATAAACGCATCATACTCATTTGCTCTGTGTAATGGTTTTGCACAGAGCAGCCCTGATCCTCTTCTTATTAGGTCCCCTGCCTGTGCTCCTGGCTCCTCCCTCCTGCTGAATGCCCACCATAGCAAGCCTCTTGCTATTGAGACACTTGTGCTGGCTTGCTCCCTAGCCAACTCTGTGTCCATAGACACACACACACACAGCGTGGTGTGGCCCTGCCCCCGTTCCTTCCTCACTGGCTGCTTTGACCCTTCTTTCCCCTCCCCCTTGCCGAGTGCCCCCAGAGCAAGCTGCTTGCTCTGGGGCACTTTTGCGTGCTCCCTCCCGAGCCGGTTCTGTGTGTCTATGTAACACACAGAGCGTGTCTCAGTCCTGCCCCCCTCTCCCTCCTCATTGGCTGTGGTTGATGGCAGCTGGAACTGCTATGTCTCAGCCAATGAGGAGAGAGAGAGACTTGGGAGAGCAATCAAATGTGCACAGTGCTGGATCAGGCGAGTATGAGGGGGGGCTGAGGGGGGGAGCTGCAACCTGAAAGTGTTTAACCTTCATGCATTAAAAAAAAAAAAAAAAAAAAAAAAAAAACCTTCAGCCACTTGAAGGCTTGGTTCACATATATGCATTTTGCGTTGATGCTTTCTCCAGTGCTTTTTGCAGTTTGTTTTACAATTTCTACACATTTTTACCGCATTTTGCATTTTGTTCAGCTTTTTTTGTTAAAGTGGAATTTTTTTGTTGCTGGGCAGAATGAAAATGCAAAACGCAGGAAAAACACGACAAAAACCCACTACCATGCATTTCAGTAGCTTGTCCATTGAACTATTGTAGGAAAAAAAAAAAAAAAAAAAGCTGCTTTTTGCTTTTAAAAAAGTCCCTGACCCTTTACAAAAAACACAGCAGCTCAAAAAAGCATCGATGTGAACATGTTCCATAGGAAACCATGTTAAATGGACTGTAGTGCGTTTCTGCAAAAAGCACTAAAAAACGCATTGGTGTGAACGGAGCCTTAAGGATAAGTTCACCTCTTAGTTAAAAATAATAAATGCACTTTTTTGCAGGTAAAAATGTACATTTATTATTTTTGTCTGCAGGAGCCTGTGAAGCATTGCACCAGTGATCAGCAGATCGTTCATGCATTGCAGGTCTCCTACAGATCTGTCGGAATATCTGCTTGCCGTACGAGATGTACAGACATGCAGATATACTGGCAGGAAGAATCAATGAACTAACACTGCGCTCCACAGCACCATTGTACTTCATTGAGAACTACAAGCCGACATCTGCTAAGGCTGCTGGGACTTGTAGTCTCTTATTCACAGAATGCTGTGAATGAGCGATGCGGTCGGGCGGAGCCACTTTTTTTATGTTACAGCTAGCAGTGGGGAGGAGAATTTCCCACACTAGCTCTCAAAGTGGGAATGGGGGGGGGGGGGGGCAGTCAGATCGTGGCATGTTACACCCTGAATATGAGTGTAACATGTTATGAAAGATGAACTTATTTAGCCCCTTCACACCGAGTGTACAAAAATATGTGGCCTCTCCGTGGCTGGGCCTTGAAGCCGAGCGGCCGCATATTTGCGTACCATTTGTACACAAACATGTGCTGAGAGTGCGCGCCCTGCATATCGGTGTCCCACAGACAGGTCCTGATCGCTTCTTGTGATTGGGACCTTTCGATCATGTGACCGCCGTGGTCACATGACCTTAAAACCTGCCTGGTCTCCTGGCGTCAGAAATCCCTTAACGGGCCGGGAGGCGCCAGCGTGAACGGGTTAAAGACAGGCCAAAAAAAAAAAAAAAACAGGCGTTTTGTTGTATGACAAAACAAAGGGAAACGCAGCAAAGTTAGCTCCAAAAAATGACACAGGAGCAGCGCTGGAGTGCTCTACATTTTTTTTTTTGCCCAACATGCAAAAAAAAAAAAAAAAGTGACGCTCCCTGATCACTCAGGTGTGAATGCAGCATTAGAGGGGGACTATGTTTGTTCTCCATGGCCCCACTGTATGTAGCCCCCCTCTCTGGCTCACTCCTATAATAGACTATGGAGGGACTGCTACTCATGTGCACGGTTTGCTGCAAACAGAAGTGACGGGGAAAGGAGAGGTTCAGGAGCACATGGAGCCACAGAACTATCGCAATAATCATTTCATGAAAAAAAACAAGAACAGAACAGAACAGAGGGCCATCAAGTAAGGGGTGTCTATGGATTATTTGTGAAGAATGGAGATTTGGCTCATTGTCCCTTTAATGCAGTGATCAGATGACACTCCCAGCCTATCCAGTCCCAGCCTTGTGGACAGTCCCTGCCCTGCCAAGTGCACATCCTGGTACAACTCCACCACACCCGGGGGGGCAGCTCCCTGGCCAAGTGACAGAAGAGGGGCAAGCCGTCACCTCTCCGCCAATCAGAAGCCGGGGGCGCGGCCCGAGTTTCACAAGACTGTCAGCATGTTTAAATAACAGAAGTTGTGCTGCGTGTGGGAGTATTAGAGGACTCGTCCGATCTGGAGGTACACACCGACAAGGGACATCCCAGGACAGCTCAGCACAGCCATGTCTCTGAAGGTCTGCATCGTGGGCTCTGGCAACTGGTCAGTATACAGTGTATGCCATAGATATACATCCATATGGAGGCTGCTGATAACTGGGCAGATCTTAGTATATACAGTGCTACCTGCTGACTGCTACACAGGGAGACCTCTAATAACTTGTAGATCTTATATGCAGTGCTATCTGCTGACCACTAGAAAAGGGAGCCCTGTGATAATACCCCTATGTAGATGTTATATACAGTGCTATCTGCTCATTGCTACATAAGGACCCAGTGATAATAATACCCCTATGTAGATGTTATATACAGTGCTATCTGCTCATTGCTACATAAGGACCCAGTGATAATAATACCCCTATGTAGATCTTATATACAGTGCTATCTGCTCATTGCTACATAGGGACCCAGTGATAATAATACCCCTATGTAGATGTTATATACAGTGCTATCTGCTCATTGCTACATAGGGACCCAGTGATAATAATACCCCTATGTAGATCTTATATACAGTGCTATCTGCTGACCACTACAAAGGGACCCTGTGGTAATAATACCCCTATCTAGAACTTATATACAGTGCTATCTGCTGATTACTACATAGGGACCCTGTGATAATAATACCCCTATGTAGATCTTATATACAGTGCTATCTGCTGACCACTACATAGGGAGCCCTGTGATAATACCCCTATGTAGATCTTATATACAGTGCTACCTGCTGACTGCTACACAAGGAGCCCTCTAATAACTTGTAGATCTTCTATACAGTGCTATCTGCTGATTACTACATAGGGAGCCCTGTGATAATAATACCCCTATGTAGATGTTATATACAGTGCTATCTGCTGATTACTACATAGGGAGCCTTGTGATAATAATACCCCTATGTAGATGTTATATACAGTGCTATCTGCTGATTACTACATAGGGAGCCCTGTGATAATAATACCCCTATGTAGATGTTATATACAGTGCTATCTGCTGATTACTACATAGGGAGCCTTGTGATAATAAGACCCCTATGTAGATGTTATATACAAGGGTACCTGTTGGTCACCAGTCCTGATCTGGTAGAAGGTGCAGGGGCTGTCCCTGAGCAGTAGAAATGCTATGTATCCCATGGAAGTGCATGTGATTTGGTGCAGATGACAGAACTGCCTTTGTTTATTGTTCATTCAGTGGCAGCGGGACATAATCCACCCACAATAAAATCCATGCTGTGCTGTCCTTCCACGAGGTTCTGTTCACTCACCGAATCGTTGTACTAAAGGAATATTTATGATCTAGTTTCCTTTTTCATGCTCTGAAGTTATGTAAACAATCAGTTCGCCACCTAACCAATCTCACTTTCTAATCATTTATGCGTTCTGGTTTCCTTTGAGCCATGAGGAAAAATCTGGAAAAAAAAAAAAAAAAAACAGGTTGTGCAGATCTGAAGGCAAGAGACTGGAAAGAAATCAGTTGTTGTAATTTGCAGGTCAGCTTTAGGCTCCATGCATACTGGGCTTTAAAAAGTGCCAGTTACCTTGGCACAAAAACACGCTGGTAGAAAACACTTTTGTACATGTTTAGGCACTTAGCTTTTTTTTCTACTCGAAAACTCCAATCAAAATACACAAACCAGAATGGTTTCTGTTCTACCTGTAAAACGCTGAGCGTAAAATATGCCTTTAAGCATACTAATGTATATGGACACATGGGATAATATCAAGCCGCTTCTGTTAAGTACAGATACTTTCATTCATACATCACTGCTGCTGTGTGCAAGGACCCTTTCCCGCCCATAAGCAGGGTCTTTTCCTATCCAGTCTGACCACAATACCACAGATTTGGTAACAAATGGCTGATGATGGATAAATGTAGAACAAAGTTATTTTCCAGTATGATGAAGGTGAATTCTCTGTGGATGGGAGATTTATCAATGTGACATCTATGTAAAATCTGCTACATCACTACTAGCACATACATCAGAATGATTGTTGATTTTAGGAGATACTTTACATTTTGCGCACGATCATTTGCATTTTACAGTCGCCTACCTCTTATTTGAGTCATCCTGTTTTTAGGGAAAGCCTTGTTCCTGAGACCTCCTTGTTAAATAAGCCTGACCATGGCCTTTAAATATAAGGCCTTTGGGAGAAAAATTGGACTAACCCCACAGAGATCAATTGGTACTCATCATTCATAGGGTATCACAGTTGCTTAGTGGTTAGCACTCCTGTCTTGCAGCACTGAGGTCCTCAGTTCAAATACCAATTAGAACACTACTTGCATGGAGTTTGCATGTTCTTCCTGTGCTTGCATGTGTTACCTCCACCATTCCCAGTAGGACAATTGGCTGCTGTTTAACCTGTCCTCTAATATGTAAGAAATCTTAAGCCGGCCATGGGTGGAGCGATTTTCTTTTCTGTAACCAGGAAAGAAAATCACTTGATTCCCCCATCAACACAGTCAGTGATGATGGGGGAATCCCTTCCATGGAGCCATTGTGTTCTAACCGGCAAGGGGAGCCTCCTCTGCTGGGAGGACCCAGTGACTGCTGCTAGTGGCCACAATCAATATTTGCATGTAAAACCCGACGAGCTGGTTGTATCGATCGATCAACTTGGGTACATCCAGCCTGTCCATTGATGGTTCGAATCTCTGCTGAACCAGCCAAGATTCGAATGGTCTATGGTCAGCTTTAGCATGGAAGAATGCACAAATATAATTGGTAAAGCTTTTTCAAAAACATTTTTATCTTTATACTGGCTTTACAAATTGCCAAATGCAATAATATGGAAGTTTAATCCAATTTTTATTACGGTATAACACTTTTGGTAGTTAGTACATAGCTAACAAAGGTCTATATATTAGAGGGACAAAGGAAAAAGGGACTGAGGGATTTGGTTCACAAAAAGGGGCAGTTGGGGGCTATACTGACTATTTCTTAACTCCATCAGTGGGATGCAGGTTCTGCTGAGGGAGGTCACAAGACTCCCTGTAGGTCCAGCAAACGTCAGCATTTCTTTTTCTCTTCATACTATTAACTAGTGCAGGGGCGGGCAACTGTGGCCCTCCAGCTGTTGTAGAACTACAAGTCCCATGAGGCATTGCAAAACTGACAGTTACAAGCATGACTCCCAAAGGCAGAGGCATGATGGGACTTGTAGTTCACCAACAGCTGGAGGGCCACAGTTGCCCACCCCTGGACTAGTGGATTGTACAGCCTGATTTATCTCTAGATACAAAGCATGTAATATGCTGACCCTATGGCATCTGTACTTTGAGCAGCTTACCCTGAACAAGTATTCGGATCAGGAAAGTCAGACGTCCTTATGTAAGAGGGTCAACATGTCATGGGGACAATTGGTATTTTCAGAAGTAGACAGCTATTCCGCTCTCCTGTTTATCCCCGTGACAGGTCTCCTTTAATTTTCATAATAAACTGGTCTCAATCTGCAAGCTCCTTTATTGCCTTCAGTGTCCCTATGCTGCAGATAGTGGCAGTGAGTGTCCCTGATCTTCATTGATGACATCATTAGATCAAAGTTCTCCAGAGATGTGTTTTATTATTGATCTGGATATTCTCTATCAATGTTTATGGCTATCATAGTACACACATGTCCACAGGCCACTGAATTTTATCTCAAGGATATCACCCCAGCTCATAACCTCTGTACCATCGTAAATGTGCTTGACAGAGCAAATTCCGTCCTCAGACAGGCTATCCTTTTACACGTGCCCTTTGCATGCTAAGAGTAGCTGAAGGAGTTTAACACTTTATCAACACAAAAAACAACAGACTTCCTCCCCTGACAAAGTTTCTTTTCCATTTTATATGAGATGATCCTAGTCTGCTTAAAGAAACCAAAATGTTCTCAACTACTTTTAGCATTGGAGCTGGTGGTTATGAATTGAAGAACATCTGAGCACATTGCACCTTTTTTTTTTAAATTCGTACAATAAACTTAAAAACATTCTGGAAAACTGATAATGTGAACATTACATTAACATGGGAAGGGTTCATCTTGCTTCACCTTCTGCTCTGACTATGAGAGGAGAGCTAAACTGTTATAGAGGGGAATCTCCAGATGGAGACACCTGTTCTGCTGACAGCTGTCAAAGGTGCAACCTCCCCTCGCTTAGGGAAGCCTTCTCTTACTTTGTGTTATGTTTCCAGACAGAGAGTAAGGAGAAATGTCTCAGACAGGGACATAGAGGTTCCAAATCTTCACTATCCAAAACTAGGTTTGTATTATATGCAGTAGCATCAGACTTTCACAAGGGTGTTGGACCCTAATGAAGCTTTTGCCAGTGCCTTGTAGGGTCTGAGCAGACCAAGTGAAGAGAATCTAGTTCCATTAATATACTTAAATGGCTGCACTATAAATTTAAGGGATCTTTAGCTACAGATGAGGCACAATTATAGTTGTGATGATGGGTGTGTGTCTCTATTCTATTGTGCATGTTAGCTTGTGGTGAATTCTTCAGTAAGGATGCCACACACGATGATACACCTGATCAGCTACCAGATACATGGATCTGGTCATGTTGGGCTTTTCTTTGGGGAATGATGAAGCACATTTGACTTTTAAAAATTATTGTATGGATAGAATTTGCAACTTGTGGGAAAATCTCTCTTTTTGGATGGTCATGATTATACATAGTATCAATTAAATCACACGTTGGCACTGCAACAGGTTCAGATGGGATGAAGATGAGCTGATACCACAACCAACTCACTCTTGGTGAGACATCTTCTCTATTAAATATGTGATAAAACCTTCATGGCCACCAGAAGTCTTGCGGCACAAGCAGAAAGAACCTGTTTGATAATTTGTTGATGGTGATTAGTCTTCCAGTTTTGTCGAGGTTTGTTCTCGGACTTAGGACTTTAGTGACAAGATCAATTGATTATCAATCATTAGTCTAAGCTTCTCTATACAGGACATATCAGTCTGGTTTTTTAGAGGAGTAGCATCACAAGTGTTACCTACGGCGGTCTGCATGCAAGTGTTGTCTGCCTCAGAACGCCCACTCCTCCAGGCTGACATCCAA